TTTTTTTTTGAGACAGAGCCTCAAGCTGTCCCCCTGGGTAGAGTGCTGTGGCATCACAGCTCACAGCAACCTCCAACTCCTGAGTTCAAGCAAGTCTCCTGCCTCAGCCTCCCAAGTAGCTGGGACCACAAGCATCCGCCACAATACTTGGCTATTTTTTTTTGGGTTGCAGCCTTCACTGTTGTTTGGCGGGCCCAGGCTAGATTCAAACCCGTCACCTTTGGTGTATGTGGCTGGCGTCTTACAGCCACTTGAGCCACAGGTGCCGAGCCAATTCACATTCTTGAACCCCAAAATTTCAAGTCTAGGCATTTATCCTAAGAACATAAAAGGCAGTTATAAACATCTATACACAGAACTGATCATCACAGTCACAGCATTATCTATTAAAACAAAACCTGTAAACAAATGTCCAAATATGGGAACACAATTAAACAAGTTAAAGTATAACCAGAGTGCTATTAGCTCTTAGAAATGAGGATGTGGGAGTATAGTATCTCTGTCCTACATTATCAATAACAGCGTAAACTGGCATAACCTATGGAGAACAATCTAGCAACTCATTCCTTCATTCAAAAAATACTTACTGAGCACATGCCACTATTCTAGGTATACAACTTAAACTACATACATCATTTAACCTGGTAATTCTACTTTCAGGAATTTGTCCTTCACATATGTTCCCAAATGTGGGAAATGATATTTCTAGGTTGCCCTTTGCGACATATTAGTAATAGCAAAATCTGATAAATGTCCATCAATAAAGGATAAGTAAATCATATTACTACACACCCATACAATAGAATACTATTTGGTATACAAAAAGAACCAACGTTCTTTAGGTGTTGATATGAAATAACCTACAAGATGTTTTTTAAATAAAATACTAAAATTTGTAGAGGGACAGATACACATCTGTATGTTTTACATAGAATATTTTTGGAAAGGTACACAGAAATTGTTAATATTGGTTGTCTACAGAGAAGAGAACCGGATATCTGGTGGAGGGATGAAAGGAAGACTTATCATATATATACTTTTGTACCTTTTAGTTCTGAACTATGTGAATAAATCATATGTTCATAAAAGGAAACAATTATTTTTATTATAAAATATATAGAAAATTGAATATCAAACTACATGAAAATTATACAATATTACATGAAAAAATATGAGCAATTATTTGTGTGTATGTGTATATGTCTGCAAGTATGTATACACACATATACAATTTTACTTTTTAAAATAAATATGATAAATATTTTATTTCTAAAAAAATTCTATACGTAAGATATTTTAGGCAGGTGGAGGGTCACGGTGTGTGACACCCTTTTTGGGGGTGGGATACAATCATAAAAGGGACTTTACCTAACAAATGCAATTAAGGTAAACTGGTTCTTTATACCTTCAATGAATCCCCAACAATTTAAAAAAAAAAAAGAAAAGAAAAGATGTTTAGAAAAAGGACTAAAAAACACGTGAATGTTAATAACAATTACTCTTTCTAATCTTTCTATAATTAGTAAATACCATTTTTATTATCAAAAAAATTTTATAAAAACTACAATGTAGATAGAAAATACTAGCTGACCTAATAAATGATAATTAGAAATTGATATTGCATCAGAATGTGGTAAAGGACTCAACACAATGAGTCCCAACAACCTACCACAATGGGCCACGAGGGGCTTCTTAAACAAAAGGGAAGTGTTTCTAATAAAGGTTTTCAAGACTTGAAAAAAAAAAAAACCAGTGTAATATCTTTTCCATATCTTCTTCATACAACCATAAAGATGAAATAAAGTAACAGTGGAAAAGAAGAAACAGTCAAACTCTATAAAATCCAAAATAGTATTATTCCATATAAGACTATTTATTTCATAAACCTGTGTAGAATTTAAGACCACAGAAATAAATGCCATCAGGAATAATGGAAAAGTTGCCTCTGTATAACAGTTTGTTTATTCACATGTAAAACAGGTCAAATCCCATTAAAATAAACTTAAGAAGACACTCCATATAATGTACTGATTATACCAGAGTCTCACTGACAGCATCAAGAATTGCTTAAAGCCAGGGCTCTGACTGGGGCGTAGGAATATTTTCATTACATGCCAATTTCCTTCCTAACCCTTATTTGACCTTAACTGATTCACTTTCTGAGAATCAGGCTCATAGCTCTGGGCTTGAAACAAGCAGCGTAAACCCAAGTTAAGAATTTGCCATATTTACTTTTCAACTGATGAGATTAAAAAACAATACTCTGTTTAGAAAAATAAAGAAAAATGTATATATTCTGCCCCACTCAGGACCCATTTTCAGGCCTTGAGTCTCCTGCTTATCTTAGTTTCCATGCCCAGGGCCAAGCATAGTGTCCTGTAGCCATGGCACTTAATTGACATTTATTTAGATGAATTGACCCTACCACAGTCTGGTCAGTGACAAACCTTCTGAAACTGTAGGTTTGAAGTTAGCTAAATGTAAAATAAATTTTAAATGTGACTTTATTTCACTTTAACAAAGCATAATCTCAGAAACCAATTTCAACAGGTATTTCAAAAATGAGTTATCAACTGTCATAAAACTGAAGATGTAACATTGCATTAGTATAGCATCCTTTATAATTTTTACAAATAAGTGAAACAAATTTTAGGATACACATCATTAAATCAATACATGAGTAATACTATAGAAACATTCAATATAAATAAACTTGAATAAGATCAACATAAATGCTTCCAAATAAACTTGATTCAATAATTTACTGTCTTTGGTGTGCAAAAATCCACTATCCTAAGACCTCATAAGATACACAAATCATAGCCCCCGCTGCAATTAATTTAGGATTACTACCTAGAAAATAAATAACAAGACTACTACCTCCTAATTTGTAAGTTAGGTAACCCAGGAAATTAGTAGAGCTTAGAGATGACTTAATACTATACAATGATGCAATCTAGGACATCTTAAGTTAAATGGCTTTTGAAAATGACTTAATGGGAGCTCCAGTGGCGCAATCAGTTAGTGCTCGGTACTTATTCGAAAATGATTTAATGCATTAGTTTGAAAAGGGCCTTTGACGGAGGAAATGGCTTTGATGGTTACTTAGATACCATGATAAACCAGGAGATCAAGGCACTTCATCATTACATCCAAATTAGTGGGATGACTCTGAAGGTTTCTTAGGTGCTTACAAAAGAAGTTGGTCCTTAGAGAAATGCTGAAAGCTGTGACATTCTTCCTTCTTTAATTCCTACATCCCACAAAGTTGGCTGCTTTACAGAATAGCATTAAGAAGTGAAGGAGAGAAATCGAGTCTCTTGCCAGATTTCCTATGTCATAAGTAACAGCTGTAGCCATTAAGCAGCCACCAGGGGACGTAGTTAGAGCAACGGCCCAAGAAGAGGACTTGGATAAGGCAGCTGCTCCACAAAGAACGTAAGCCAAGTCCTGCAGGAAGACCTCCCAGTAACGATCCTTCTGCATCACACTGCCTCACATTTGAGAACCAATATTAGAACTCAGGTATTGACAGAAAAAGCTTGTACCCAATAAGCACTAATCATGGTCCTCTCCTATCAATATTCTTTACAAAAACTGGGATTTGACGTATTTAGGAAATCCCATCCTATTCCAGTTTTTTCAGAACAGCCAGTAATTAGTAAGAATATTTAGAATTCCTGAGACAAAGTTCATCAGTTGTAGGCACTACACACTAATCCTACATGTATCAAAAAATACCCCCCCAAAAAGATTTATATCAATATACAGAATACATAAATTCAATAAAATAATATTTTTTCTTTTTCTTTTTTTATTTCTTATAGCATAACTGTGTACATTAATGCAATCATGGGGTATAGTGTGCTGTTTTCATATACATCTTGAAATACCCTCATCAAACTGGTTGACATAACCTTCATGTCATTTTCTTAGTTATTGAGTTAAAATGTTCATACTCTGCTTTTAGAAAGATTCACTTGTATCCTTGTAAGATAAACCATAGAGGTGACCCCACCAATCACCCTCCCTCCCCATAATATTTTTTCCATGTTGCTACTAGGGTGATCTAAGGAAAATGTAACTAAACTAGTGTTCATTCAAATCACAATGAACCAGAATGATTAATGCGGACCCAGAATGTTAAGTTTTAAAACCATTTTCAAAAAAATCCTTCTTATAGTAAGATTTCCATATCTACATAAGAATCTTATTAGAATAACTTTATGTAATGTCTTCAAAAGCAAATGGTTATTTCTTCTCTTTTTTTCTTCTATTATAAGTCAAAAGAGAATCTTAAGATCTACTTATTTCTCTCTCCTATGTAAAAAATATCTAGATGTCTTTGCTTCCAAGAAAAGCCTAGTTTCAGTGAAACCTGGATCAGTAAATAACATTATCCATATTGTCTGTATGAGACTGGGACTTGGCATGAAAAAATACCAATATTTATAATAATTAGTTAATTATTAATTATTTATTAATAGATATACTAAGGAAGGATATTTTAAAAATAAAAATTAGTTACAAGTTATGACAAAATAAGCATTATTTGAACAGCATGGGTCCTGGGAAAAAAAGATAGATCCACAGAAGTTATAAAAACCACAACTAAACAACAGCTCGAATGTGCCCAAGCACAACAGTCACCACAGTAGTTACCCACATAAATTCAGGAAGACATGAAAATGCTTCAGCTCAATCATGTATAAAAAACATACTAATTATAACCACATCCTCAGGGTCTGTGCTGCTAAACATAAAGTTTTTATAATATGCATATGTAGGAGTGAAATAAAAGTCCTTTGCACGCAAGGCTACAAGCCCTTCAAGATAACCTGAAGTCCAAGTTATCTTCTGGCACAGTGAAATGTTCAGATTATAGCTAATTATAGCTAGAACCGCCTTTAGGAAAGGATCGTGAAATTTCAAGTACAAATTAAATTTTTCTCCCTGCTGTTCATGTGCCCCATCAGTGATAGTACCTCCGTTTTTAATGACAGTCCACTGTTAAAGAATATTGTTGCAACAGCAATGTAGGATACAGTTATTTCTGGCTTCAGTGGTCCTAAAAAGAGAAAAATGAGTTACTGTTAGAAAAAATTTCCAGTAGATAACTTGGTATAAAAGTAGAATCTATTACAGGACAACAAATGGTACTTTCCATTTTAGTGTTGCCTCTGGTGTCCTCTCCTGACAGAGGTAAGCTTTTGTGTAATATAGCCTAATTCCAGAGAGAATTTTCCAGAGGACAAAGACCACAGCTGTCTGGGTTAGCATAGCATCCTCAGACCAGAAAAAGCAGCACATAGGAGAGCAGGTAGGTAACATAATTCAACACAGGGGCTAATTATATCTATATGGTATCGTGCTTATATAACAACCAAAATACCTCTGAATCCAAGGAAGAGAATCAATGGAAGAAGTTCCCTTCTCTTTAGCAAACATTACTTTCTTGCTTCTAGGATCCCAGAAATAAAAACTTATAATCACACATGTATTCAGTATTCATTCTAAAAATATTTATTGAGCACTTACTATGTGAAAGAGATAATACATATAGAGTACTTAAAAATATATTGCTATGATTATAATTACTATTAAATTGTTCCAGGCCCTGGGGATACTGTGATGAATCAGATAGGCCTGGTCCTAACCCTCCAGGAAATTGGGTTGATTCCACTGCAAATGTGTCAACACTGTGAGAACAGGGGCAATCCTGACATTTAAAGTATCATTTTTAACTTGTGTACAATTGGCTTCAAAACCTAAAATACTTGGATAGTATTCTAATAGTAATATTCCTTGGATAAGAATATTCTTTTAAAAGACGGAAGAAAATGACTTTCATGCTTGTACAAGGTCTATCAATTACGTTCATGAACTCATCCTAGAAAAAGTGCTACATTCCTGAGCATCAATCACTACAGTCACCTTTGAAGTATTCCCCTTGGGAAGCTATGCACCGATGCCAGCACCTAGTGCACACTAGGTCCACCAGCAATTTTGGAACTCTTTTTCTGGAATGACCATCAGAGCTATCATTGCATGGTGCACAAAAACAAGCAAAAATAATGAATGTTACTCAGCAAGACACCACTACATGTCCATTCAAACACAGCTGTGAGACACTAATATACCAAGGTTATGAAACCTTACTGAGTTGTTTGTACAGTGCTGCCAACATAAGAACATGGTGAAGGGTAGACTACGTACTGGCATCAGTGTATAGCTCCCCAAGGGGAGTACTTGGAAGGTGACCATAGTGACACTCAGTAAGGAGGTATGTAGCACTTTTTCTAAGAAGTGTTTACAAACTTAATTGTCAGACCTGTAAATCAGTGGTTCTCTTGCAGTGGCAATTGTGTTCCCCTACAGACATTTGGCAATGTTTGAAAACTTTCTTTGGTTACTTTATCTTGGGGATAAGCTGTTCTACTGGTATCTAGTGGGTAGAGATCAGGAATTCTGTTAAATATCCCAGAAGGCACAGAACAGCCCCTCCAGCAACAAACTCTCATGTTTAAAATGTCAGTAGTGCCAAGGCTGAGAAATCCTGGTATATACCAACATGTTAGAATCCAAGATCATCTCATACTTGACATTTTCTTCAGTGCTCTTATACTGGATTGAGTAGTGTCCAGCTCTAAAATTAATGCCCAGCCCACCAGAATTTGTGAATGCGACCTTATTTGGAAATAGGGTCTTTGCGGATGTAATTGAGTTAAGATGAGGTCTTGTTGAATTAGAGTGGTTGCTAATTCAATGACTAGTACTCAAAAAAAGGAGGAAATTTGGACACATTGACACATACACAGGGAAGATATCATGTAAAGACAGAGGCCGAAAATGGAGTTATACTTCCACAAGCCAAGGAATGCCAAGGATAGCTGGCAACCACCACAGGCTACAAGAGGCAAGGAAGAGTTCTTCCCCAGAGCCTTTGGAGGACATCTTGACTTCAGACGTGTGGCCTCCAGAATGTGAGAGAATAATTTTCTGTAGTATTATGCCACCTGGTTGGTGGTAAATTGTCGCAGCAGCCCCCAAGAAACTAATACATTCCCTAAGTAAAACAACAAGACCACAATCACAACTCCTCCATACCTCCAAACCCTCCACTTACTCAGTAAATGGACGGAAGACCAAGCTCAGGAAAAAAAATCACCATTTATTCATTCAACAAATATTTACAGAGCACCAACTGTGTCTTAGGCATTTGAGGTAGAACAGTGAATAAAAGAAGCAAAGATATTTATACTCTACTGTTAACAGATTTGACATGTACCCTTGCAATATACACCATAGGTGAGGTCTCACCCATTACTCTCCCTCTCCCTAACCGCCTCCCTCTCCTCCGCCTCCTCTTCCCTCCTTCATTGGGGCCTAAAGTTGTGTTTTATCTTTCCTATGAAAGAGTGGGTGATTATATATTGATTTCATAATAGTACTGAATACACGGATACTTTTTCTTCCATTCTTCAGATACTTTACTAAGAAGAATATGTTCCACCTCCATCCATGTAAACATAAAAGAGGTAAAGGCTCCATCCTTTTTAAGGCTGCATAATATTCTGTGGTATACATATACCATAATTTGTTAATCCATTCATGGGTTGATGGGCACTTGGGTTGCTTCCGTGATTTGGCAATTATGAATTGGTTAAGAGTAGAGTATAAATGTCTTAATACAACAATTAAGTAAGTGAGGTAAAGGCTATGTTAACCAGTTTGATGTAAGCATTCCAAATTGTATATAAAATCAGCATATTGTACCCCATAAACACATTAATGTACACAGTTATGATTTAATAAAAAAAATTAAGAGGCAAAAAAGAAAAAGAAACAAAGATGTCCTTAAACTTTGAGATAAATGCTTGGCATTTACATAAACCTGAGACTGGAGAAAAGGGAGCAGAGGGGAGAAGGCAAGTGCAAAAGGCATTCCCTTGGGGGCATAAAGGCTATTCAAAAATGTTAGAAGATGCATTATTTCTAGACTCATGAATGAATCTGTCTCAGCAGCTAATAACTACTAGAAGTATTTATAACTACTTCTAATAACTACTTAGAAATAGTTACTTCTTCAACAGCTGAGGAGGGTGATTCAGAAGCAGATTTTAAAGTTAGTGGATTTGGGAAGAAAATACAGTAGAACCTCTGTAAATTGACTGTCCAAGGGATTGTAACAAACTGGTCAACATACACAACATACAACAATATCTACATAATAAACTAAGTCTACTGCACTGATATGTGCATGTGCATGTCTGGTCTGTGAAACATTTAAGGAGGTCAATTTATGAATTGTAAATGACCTGATTTTTTTTTTTTTTTGAGACAAAGTCTCAAGCTGTCACCCTGAGTAGAGTGCCATAGCATCACAGCTCACAGCAACTTCAAACTCTTGGGTTTAAGTGATTCTGGGACTACAGGCGCCCACCACAATGCCCGGCTATTTTTTGGTTGTAGTTGTCATTGTTGTTTAGCAGGCCCGGGCTGGATTTGAACCCACCAGCTCCAGTGTATGTGGCTGGCACCCTAGCTGCTGGGCTACAAATGCCGAGCCAAATGACCTGATTTTTTAAATTCATATCATTTTCATTTTCCTCCAATCCCCTGCTTTTAATGATACCTTATTATTTTTCATTGTAGTTTCATCCACAGTGGTGCCTACAGAATTTCTACATATGAAGGGTAAGAGTTAGGAATATGGCAGCAAATGAGAGCTCAGGGACATGTTCAGAGACACATCTCCACAGCAAACATATGGCATATTACTTTGGGGTAATGAATGCATCTATCTTAATTGACCAACTTTACTGTTTAAGAAGTTAACTCTACCCACACTCCACACACACATAAGTACATATAAATATTAACTAATTGGTACTAATTCAATGGAAGAATTCCTGACTTTTCATGCTTTAAATCCTAGGGAGGGAGTATACCACCTTCTGTTTTAGATACACATCAAAATAACTCTAATTCATGAAAGGACATGAGCAAGGATATTCCTGGGCTACCTACAATGTGTCTCTTAGGGGGAAAAAATAATTTTTGACTCAGCAGCTAGGGTGCCAGCCACATACACCAGAGCTGGTGGGTTCGAATCCAGCCAGGGCCTGCCAAACAATAATGACAACTACAACCAAAAAAAAAAAAAAAATAGTCAGGCACTGTGGCAGGTGCCTGTAGGCCCAGCTTCCTGGGAAGCTGAAGCAAGAGAATTGCTTAAGCCCAAGAGTTTGAGGTTGCTGGAGCTGTGACGCCACAATACTCTACTGAGGATGACAAAGTAAGACTCTGTTCAAAAAAATAATAATAATATTTGGTTTTGATTAAGAGAAACTCTCTGAGATATAATCAACTGAGAGGCTAACCGATAGCCCAAGGTGAAATTACCCAGGGCAAAAATAAAACTTAGTAAATATTTACACAGAGGTAAGAGTTGAAACTAAGATATAAAAATGATATGCATCCCCTCCCCAACCTAACTATTATATCCACTAAGTCACCAAAATAACCAGATACTGATCTTCAAATGGCTATAAAGCTCAAATTGGAAATATGTTTCTACTTTTGCATTAAACATAAAAGAATAAAATGTTTATGATCAAAATGGAACGGGGTGGCACAATCAAAAGAAAAATTTGCCATAAAAATGAAGCAATTTTTGGACTCTAAAACTCATACTTTTTAATGGTAGGAAAAAACAAAATGTTTTGGAATACTTAAGAATGCAAGGAACTATTACCATTTCACAAAAGCCACTTATCACCAAGGTAAACTTCATTTCCAAACCTAATCTAAAATAGTCGAAGATATTCGTGCTAATCTGTTTAAGGTTATGGCATGTTTCTGGTCATGATTTTTTAATGAAAAAACAAAGCAGTTTCCTTTTTAGGATTAATGTCTCATTAACGGCAATAATTTAAGATGCAGGTAGAAACGAAAACCTTAGGCTGTACTGCCAAAGAAGTAAACTCTCTCTTCCTGAGAACTAACAGCACAGTGCTGAACTCCATAAACTCCAAAGTGTGCAATAGCTCAGGGCTTCCCTAAGTCACACTGGAGCAGTCTATCATAATATTTACATCTACCATGGCTTTGTAATTTCAATCTGCTTTTCTATATGTAAATAAAATTCAACTTATTGAAAACAACAGAGAACTAAGAATTAAATTATCTAAGCTGTTATACTTTTGCCCCTTTGGATAGTTATTCAATATCTATAATTTAGGGTTTCCATGTGCCAAGTTAGGATTCCTATATCTAAATCCCACATTTAAAGGGAGGTCAGGCCATATATGTGTGTGATACTTTAAGTATAGGAGTCTCATACTTGAAAATAGTATAGTCATTAAGGAGTTAATCCAAGTAAAGGTGAAGTGAGCATCTTAACAACTAATTTAAAAATATCAAAACTTTTCTTATTTAAAAGAATGCCTAAAAATATTGTCTGATTGAAAATTGTCCAGTCAATGTGAATGCATTAAAAATCACATTCCCATTGTAGAAAGCCCATAAATGGAAACTTTTAAGGTCCTTTAGATCACTCTAATGAGCAGGCTATGACACTAATATTCTCAGCAGCCACTCCTCTCCTTGTTCCTAGATTTTTGTTGTTTTATCTACAGGACTGTGTGAACAAATGAAAACCTGAAAGAGCCAATCCTTTCAGATGGATCCCAAGTGTCTAACTGGGTCTAAATTTAAAACAGAGCCAAGTGACCATTTGCTGACTATGGATCACACACATATACCGAGTCCTCTGAAAACCCACACCTTTTTATCTTTGGGACTTTGGGGGCTCACCTAAACCAACCAATCAGAGTTCACCTGACTCAAAGCTCAGCTACATTTACCAATGGGAACTAAGCAAGTTTCAGTCGTTCACTTGCATAAATAGATCCCATTGAGTACTTGAGGTGGGAACTTTTGCTATAAACCCAAGCCTTCCCTTTGCTCTCCCAGCTACCTTCTTTTATACCAAAGGCTGTATGTGTCTTTCTGATTTGCAAACTAGTCACTGGAATAAAGTCTCTTTCCTCTAAATTCCCTGCAGAGAATTCTTGTTCACAAGTGAAAGTGTGATTTGGTACTACTTGAAGGTTTGTTTTTATTTATGAGGGTCAGGTGTGAAGGTCAATTCAACATTAGGCTAACTCAGTGGTTAGTGCACTGGCCACATGCTCCAGGGCTGGTGGGTTCCAACCCAGCCCAGGGCTTGCTGGGTGTTGTGGCGGGCGCCTATAATCCAAGCTATTAGGGAGGCTGAGGCAAGAGAATTGCTTGTGTCCAAGAGTTTAAGTTCACTATGAGCTAAGACGCTATGGCACTCTACCAAGGGTGACAAAGTGAGACTCTGTCTGAAAAAAAAAAAAAGTTCAACAGAAGCATCAATAACTTAGTTTCATGACCTACAAAGGAAATCCCAAACAATTGTTCATTTAACTTCTGGTTTCAAAAAAAGTAAGTTTTACACATAGACAGCTATCAAAGAAATCATATTAATACATCCTGTCTAATATTAGCGTATTTTACTCTGCTCCTTTGGGCTAAAAATCTGGACATGGAAAATGTCTTTATTATATAAATGCCCTTCTATATAATGGTTATTCATTTTCAGTAATTTTTTTTTTTTTTGCCAGAAACATTAGTATAGATTTCGTAACTGATATGAAGTTAGGGGGAATCCTGGTCCCAGTGGTTCCTCTTCCCTATGCTAGCTAACTTCACCTGAGGTGAGTCACCTGGCCTCAGGCTTCACTCAGTATCCTCAACTGTAAAAGAAGCATGCTGGCTTAAAATATTTTCAAAGTCCCTTCCAGCTCGTAACATTCTGTTCTTTTATAATTAAAGAATGAATTGTCCTATATTGATGGCACAAAAACTAGTGAATGAGTAACAGTTCTAAGATAGGACAATGTACCAAAACTTCAATAAGCAGAGTCCAAGGGAACAAATAACATTGCAGAATCTATCTCATACATGCCTCTACAGGAAGACCTTAGGGAAATGAATCAGCATTCAACAATCCTTCTTCCCACAGAGCATATACTCAATACATTGTGTACTGAGATGAATACAGAGGAACAAAATTTTAAAACAAAAACTCCACAAACTTTATTTAAATAATTCTTTTAAGAATGTTCCCATAAACTACTGCTAAATAGAGGAACTGGTGGCAGTCAGGGGCGAAGGAACCAACTACTCTTCTCCTGAGAGATCATTCACATCCATCGTGCTTTAACAAAAACGTACAGATAACTTCTAACATCCTCATGAACACGTCCTACCATAAAGACAGCGTGTTCACTTCTGTCCTTAATTGCCCATTGTATGACTTCCTTATTACACCCGTCAATAAGTTTAGAAACTGACAAGGTCAAAAGACGAATGAATTGAAGAAATTCAAGTAATGTTTATGAAAACGTAGGGCAAGATTATCTAAAGGCGAGGGGAGCATAAAAAGCTATTTCTAGTATTCCCAGTAGTCCCCATCACCCCAACACAAAGCTCCAGCTATTCAGAGACTTGAGTATGTTTCTAGCCCGTCTACATTGCCTTGCCATAATACACCACACAGTTAGACACCACACAGTCTGTCTAACACAAGCTGTATCTGTTAGACTGCTAGCGTAGCAACTGAATCCCGGCAGCACACGGAAGTAGTGTCCTGTAATGAAAGAGCGCAACGTGTCAGTCGGGCTGAGAGTTTCTGGAGCGCCAGCAACTGCAGTAAATCATCACTCTCCGATATGTGGGCCACAAAATCTGAGTTGGGGGCAGGGATGCCACTTTGTCTTTTTTTCCTTAACGTTTTTAAAAGGCGGGGGCGGGTAGAAATTGGAAGTAGACTAAAGTCCATTCCATGAAGTCCTGGCTAGCTAGAGTCCCTTGGGATAGGATGCTACTTTGAAGGCAAGAGGACTAAGTTTCATTCTCTGTAACCTCATTCCTTAACACTGATAAGAGTTATTGTTCGCGGAAAAGGCTACCTGTGCTCAAATTCCTTTGTCCCATTCCGAATTACAAGTTTCCCCTGAGGTTGGTAAATTAGAAAATCAGCAAAACGGCCAAGAGCTTGCCAGTGCCCCCGAGATTGGCAAGCACTTGCCAATTATGGTCATCCCTCCTTTCCAAGATTCATAGATTAGTTCTGAAGCGGGGACCGCGGGGGAGCCGGAGAGGTGCAACACTTACCCCCATTTACCCCTATGGACGGCTCCAGCTTAGCTGCGGCGATCGCCAGTACTATTCCAACCATGAACCATTCTTTCCTCATTCTCTCCAGCAGCCTCATGTTTGTTAGGGTGGGTGGGTTTTGTTTATTTGTTTGGCTTTCTTTCTTTTCAAACTGCAATTGCTCAATCCCCGGAGCGTCTCCACACTTTCCTCAGTCCCTGCAGACATGCAGCAGAGCAAGTCAAATTGCCGCTTGTAAACTAAAGACCTGGGAGTTGCTCCGCCGGCTCTGAGAAAGGCTGGGAGTAGTAGTATCCAGTGACAGGAAAGTCTCACTGAGCGCCGCCATCACTACCATATGGTTCCTAATAGACGCTCACAAAGACCCTGCACTTTTGGCCGCGGGCTCCCAAGGGCGGATACTCTGAAACGGAATCTTAGGCCAAGCCAGCAAACGCTGGTGATCGGGGGGGTAAGGCTGCCTGTTGGTTGGGACCGATAGACCTACCGCCGCCGAAACCTGCTTAACCTTCTGAATGACAGGGGCGGGAAAGAGCCGTACGGCATAGCCACTAGGCTTCATCGAAAGTCCTGTCTCAACAAACCTTTACAGCACAGCCGCCCGTGTCTCTGGAGTATACCCCACAGAGTATATCCCCGTGGAGAGCCTCTTTTTTGCTTGGCCATGAGTCCGAGAAGGGGTGGCGTGGACTTAGATCCGAAAATTTTCTGTCGGAGCTACTGCAGCACCGTGCGAGGGGTTTTTTTTGTGGCGCTCTTCTTCAGGTCATTACGGCGTTTCCCCGACGACGCCGTTGACGTGTGCGCTGGGGGAAGGGGAGGCCGCTCTTCGCCTTCGGGTTCCCGGCCCGAGCAGCCGGAGTTAGCGGCGCTCCGCGGACTGCGCGGGAAAGGCGCTTCCTCTTTGGAGTAACTGTAGTCCAGGTTGGATTGCAAATTGGACCGCGGGCTGACGCTCACTTTTGCAGGACCACTGCTCTCCAAAGTCCTCTAACCCCAGGGAGGACTGGCCGGACCTCGCCAGCTCTGTCGCCTGTGGGTGGGCGCTCGGCCGGGATCCCCGCGGCTCCTGGGTTAACACCTGCCGGCGAGAGTGGGGGAAACTGTTAGAGTCGGGGCATGGCTTTCTTTGGGGCAGTAAGTGAGTGCTTACGAACGAAACTACCCAGTAGGGAGAGAGGTCTGCCGGCGAGTCTCGGGGACTCGTGGGTGCGCACTCTCGCTCGACCCCCAGAGCTGACCCACCCGTGCGACAGGAATACTCTGCGAAGGAGGTCAGAGGGTCCAAAGCAAAGTTGTGAGGAACTGAGTCTGAGGGGTAGAGGGGTCCTGCATTTCCTTGTCCTGTCTGCTGGATTCTTTTTTTTTTTTTTTTTTGCAGGTTTTTTGGCCAGAGGTGGGTTTGAACCCGGCACCTCCGGCATATGGGGCCGGCCCCCTACTCCTTTGAGCCACAGGAGTATGGCTGGCTGCTCACTTAGTTTCTATGGCACAGACTATTATTGCTCCTAGACTACATTCCCTGCCTGCTGAATTCTAACTGTCTTCCAGTTTCTTCCTTGAAGTATTTTGTGGCCACCAGTGACATTGATACATAGTTTCATAAATGTACTTTCTACCTGTAGACCGGCAGGACATCAGCGTCTCCCTCTGATGCGCTCAAATAAGAAAAAAGACTATTACATGACATTTTGAAATAGCCTGGTATCTTCCACTTAAATGGTTAAATATTGAACTTGAGGTTTGGGAGGGATTGTTTAGTGATGTTTAGTGTTTGGAAGGGATTGTTTAGTGATGTTTAGTGTTTCACCATTCTTCCCACCTTCCCTTTTCTCACAAGCTAGTTGTTATATATTTTCCAGCACATAACTGGGCTAGACCAATATACTTGCAACCTGGGAAATCTGGATGACAAACTCATCTTTAGGACACTGCAATGTTTCAAACCCCTATGTGTAGAAGTGCGTGTCTCGCCTGATAACGTCTCACAGGCGTTAATTCTGTGTTTATTCAAAGTTTGAAAGAGACTCGCCATACAATTTCCTCTAATTTGGCTTTATTTTGATGACATGACTTCCTTTCCAAAAACTAAGGCACTATAAGCCTTTGTGCTACTGGTTGTAAGTTTCACAGTACCAAGTATCATCTAATTATTCATCCAATAACATAAAGAAAAGTTAATCTAAAGATAAAAAGAACTTGATAGGGAGTCACAGGTGACATTAAACAACTTACCCTGAAAAGGGAGAAGCAAATGAGTTGTGACAAAATTTGATGTTAATTATCAGGCAGTCACAAGATAAGTGGATACACGAAGGATAGTTTACAACACAATTATTATTTTCTGATGGTAATTTCTAAGTAGGTTAAAGAGTCGTACATCTTAGTCATTGAAGGAATAATTTTACATTAAAAAATCATTAAACATATTTACTGAAATTGAACTGGTCTAAATTTATGGCTGTTTCAAAGAGTCTTATTTACTAATATATAGAGAGCAGAATCCACCTCACAGAATTTTTTTTTTTTGGTTTGTTTTTGATGATACTTAAAGAAACAGAACATAAGATAACTCTGAATTCTATTCTGTTAATGCACATGTTAGTTTACTGAGGCTGCTGTAACAAATAACCCAAAACTGGTTGGCTTCAAACAACAGAAATTTATTCTTTCACAGTTTTGGAGGACAGAAGTCCAAAAAAAGGGCTCTGCTCCTTCAGAAGGCTCTACAGGAGAACCCTTCCTTACCTTTTAACAGTTTGAGGTGGCGCATTCTGTAACTTCCTTGGCTTGAGGCTACAGTGCTCCAATCTCTGCCTCTGTCTTCCTATCACATTGTCTTCTGTGAGACTTTTTAGTGGCCGATTACTCCAAGATCAAGATACGGACAGATCGTTTGTGTTTTATAGACACTTGTCTTTGGATTTAGACAATCCAGATAATCAAGATCACCTAATTCCAGTAGTCCTTATCCTCAGGGGATATCCCCCAAGACCTACAGTAAATGCCTGAAACCACCAATTGTACTGAACCCTATACTTGCTGTGGTTTTTTTTCCTATACATACATACCTATGATAAATTTTAATTTATGTATTAGAGAGTAACAACAACTAATACAGTCAGGCCTTTCTTAATATTAGGGATATGTTCTGAGAAATGCATTGTTAGGCGATTTGGTCATTGTGCAAATGTAGAATGTACTTATACACGCCTAGATGGGATGGCCGGCTACGCACTCAGGGTCTATGGCATAGACTATTATTGCTCCTAGACTACAAATCTGTACAGCATGTTACTGCACTGAATACTATAGGGGCAGTTGTAACACAGTGGTAAGGATTTGTCAGTCTAAACATAGAAAATAAATAGCTTATAATGTAATGGAGGAAACAGATAAAAACAACTTGTGGTTTGTGGAAGAGCAGGATGTTTAGAATAATCTAGATTGGGGAAGACAGGCATCTCTGAGAACTGCAGAGTGAATAGTCACATAGGAGAAACTTGTTTAGGCAAGGAAGACCTTGACACTCCTTGGAGATGATAAACCAGTGTGACTGGTCAGTGAGGGCACAGTGATCTCCGGAAGGTAGGAAGCTGGGGAGAGTGCAGACCACATGAGGCCACTCACATTGTGGTCAAGGATTTAAAAGGCGGAAGATTTACGCAATCTGAAGAGAAACCAGAGTATTGTGGTAGGTAAAGGATTTAGATTTTACTAAATATTGTAAAAAGAAAATCCACAGAGGGGTTTTAAGGTAGTGAGTGACATCCTCAGTTTTGCTGAAGGGATTATTTTAGAAACAGTCTCTGGAGAAATAGCTCACAAGATGTCAATGGAGCTGGAAAAGGCAATTAGTATAAGAACTGCTAAACAGAAAGAATCAAAAATAAACTATCAGTGTTGGCTCGGTGCCTATAGCACAGTGGTTATGGCACCAGCCACATACATGGAGGCTGGTGGGTTCAAACCTGGCCCAGGACAGCTAAAGCAACAGTGGCAACTACAACAAAAAATACGGGGGCTGTGGAGGAATGAACATCATGCTTGCAAGGACAATCATTAGTTCTTAACATATCCAAGGAAACGCTGAAAGCAAGACATTCTCCTGGCAGCTTAGAGGCAAGCCCCCAAGTAACTCAGTGTTCCAGAATGAGATAAGATTGGTCACTCCATAGTAAGCAGGTGTTAAACCTTAGACATTTTATGGTGCTTCACTGTGGGAGTTGTGGGGAAAGAGCACTAATTTCCTTTTTGTGTGGTCCTTAACCATGGGGCTCCTGCACATCATTAATTAACACTCTTCACACCTGTTGTGTATCCCTTCAATAAGTAGCCACTGCAAAAGTTGTTCAGGGTTCTCTTGCACCTGTGGTGAGCCTCACCTCTTGCAGCTTGTACTCTCAATCCGCGTCCTGGCTGTTTCCTTCATGTGGCTCTAACACCAGGCATTGTGGCGGCCACCTGTAGTCCCAGCTACTTGAGAGGCTGAGGCAAGAGAATCGCTTAAGCCCAAGAATTTGAAGTTGCTGTGAGCTATGATGTCATGGCAGTCTACCGAGGGTGACATAATAAGACTCTATCTGAAATAAAATAAACTATTGGTGATCTGTAGGGGAACAGAGAGAAAGTGGAAAATGGCTCCAAAGAATGTTTGATGCTGGTGTCATTCCCTCAGACAGCAAATCTTTACAAAGAAGATTTGGGTTGAAGATCTTACATCCAGTTTTATACATCTTGAACTTAAACGTCACTGGAACATGTAAATAGAGTGCCAGAGGGCAGATAAAATAGGGGTTTGATCTCATGAGAATGGAGTTAACTCAAGCTGTAGCTCTGGGATTCTTCACAACAGATTATGAAAACCATATCTCATTAATAAAGCAGGTATCTACTTTTGAACTTTCATGCTTACACTGGCTATTAGGTTTCTTTGACAGTGGTTAATTTACTCATCTATAATATTTGTGAATGATTACTGTTGCCAAAAAATGACAGGTGTATCTATGCCTGCTCTCATGAAGCTTATGTTTAATAAAATGGTGATAGGAATTCTATCTCATTGGCTGCTGAAAAGAATAAATAGGGTCATGTAAGTCCATTGTGCTGCATGTGATACAGGACTCTCCCACTTAGGGCTGAACAGGAACCCCTGCACCATTCTCTAGGCCTGGGTAAGTTCAGAAATCAGACCCTCTTCTCTAGTCACAAATAGGCCACCCTTTCCAGGCCACACCCTCTGGGCTCTTGAACAAATCAGCCTGAAAGGTTCTGTGTAGTTCCTCCTGGAATAGAAAGCACACACCCTAATTTCTTGCCTGAACCAGAAACCGCTA